CCCCCCCGCCCCAGCCCCCGCCCCCCCCCTCGCCCCGACGTTCACCCCCACCCACGTCTCCGCAACCACCTCCACCCCCACCACTCTGAGCCCCCCTCACCCCTACCTTCAAGTTGCCTCTACGAGGTCGGAGCCGATAGGTAGCAACTACCGCATCTAGCATGTCGGCAACAAGTAAGTTTTTTTTAAGATATTGTAGTAATTTAATTATTTATTTAATTAATATAAAACTAACAAATTATTCTTTTAAGGTTCTACCCCTCCTTCTGCCATACTATTTGCACCATTTGAGATATCATTCGGAGCAAGTACGGCTCAACATACTTGTCGTGGAAGGAGATCTCGATCGCCATTCAAGATCTTTGGTTTCAGAAGTTTGCGGTAAGTATCGTTCACAAATAAATTAAATTGTTTTTATTTATTTATCAATCAAACATAATCCTTATAATATTTGCAAAAGTGATTTTCCTGAAGCATTGAGCACGAGGAGCACATCTAGGGCAACTTCGTGCGCAAGGTAGCAATCGCCTCTAGGTGATGTCTATCGATATGCAGAAACCATGACAGCTTCGTCTGTGGCTCGAAGAGCTTGCTTTTGTTACGCTGCTTAGGGCCTGTGATTCTCCTAACTACTAGATAAAGAGGGAGCAGACAAAACTGAATAGGCGGTCGAACTATGGAGGCATGGGGACCTTCAAGAACACAAGTCAGGTGCTCCCAACTACGGAATACAAGTGGAGGCCGGTAAGATTTCATTTATTCTATAAGATTTTTATAGTTCGAAAATGTATTTTAACAATTTCTTTTACGGACAGGCAGTGGAGATTGGACGAGAGCCCTCCATCATCAATGTACATAAGCGCACCCTCAAGAGGTGATTCAACTAGTCCTGGATCAACGACAGATCCCGTGCAACCAAGCTAATTTATTAGTTAAACTAGTTTGATGTTAATATATGTTAGCTCTTATTGAATGTAATTACTTTTGTTTGCATAAGATATTCCAACAACTAAAGAAGAGCTGATCACAGGCATCGGGATGTATTACGATCCGCGAGCGTGATCCTTCCGAGTATGACCTGTGAAGGGAGATTGCTGGAGGGGAGAAGAAGGGTCGATTCTACGGGTTCGGGTCACAGAGATTTGCCTACAACCCACAGCCCTCCACCAGTGCATCTGCAACTTATACGTCTACCACATAGGATGAAGAGATCTCCAGGCGAAATGCAGCATTCCCTTACAGAGATGGAGGTCCGCTTCTCTCAAAAGAGGTCGGAGATGGAGGCAAACATGAAGGCCATGCTAAAGGCTGAGTTGGATTTCTATCAGTTGCGGATGAGGGAGCTTGGCAAGGAAGCAACAACACTGGAGCAGGAGAAAGCGGCGGAGGACGATGAAGATAGGATTAACGAGATAGAGGAGGATGATTAGAAGTTTTTTTTCTTTCTTTTTTTTATGTTTTATGTATATTTGAACATATATTTTTTATGTGAAAAGTGTTGTATATATTTTAGATTAAATGTATTTTATTTATTTTTTATTTGATTGGATAATTTACTATTTGACAACTATGTTATGTCATTAAATACTTAGAATTGTATATGTAATGTTGTGATAGTAAGTGTAATAATGTAAATACAAAAGAAATAATTTTTTTTTCTTACGATACAGGTTTTTGACGGTTTACCGGCAGTTTTGCGACTGTTCCAAACTTACCGGTCGACAAAAACGACGGCTAGCCGATAGACATTTTTACTAAGGTCAAACCGACACATAACCAACGATTCAAGGTGAGTCACACAATTTTCAATAATTAACCCATCAGTTATAAAAAAATGATGCTTAAACGATGTTTAACTAACAATTTTTACCTGCATCAAAAAACAGACGGGCGAGACACTTTTCCGACAATTAACCATCAGTTATAAGTAACGACTCATAAACGACGTAAAAATGAAGGTTTTGTTTACTTCAAAAACCGATTGGTGTGAAACTTTTCCAAAGTGCATGTACTCGCTATTTCGGACGAGAGCCGGTTATACGAATAAACGATAACCGATGAGTCAAAATTTCTCTAAAAGAACTACGACAATAAATTGTTCGATAACCATCTGTAAATTTATACCGTCGAAATATCAATCCGTTTTAGAATTACCCACAACCTTAAAATCATCGGTAACATTAAAAACGACGGTTTTTCATATCATAATCGATGGATTATAATCGTAAAAAAAAAACCTAAATTTATGTAGTGATATGTTTATCAGGCCGAGCTCGAGCCAGCTCCCGAGTCGGCTGAGCTAACTTACAACCCTAATGATGTCTAACCCTTCACCTCCATGAAAGTTAAATAAAATTAATTTTTATGCTATTTAATTAGAATTAGACGTGGTTAGTTGCAATCAACTTGTGATACCATCATTGCGTGTATTTATTATTTTTTAGCAAAGATTTCTAAATATCTCCTGTTTGTGGAACTCAATGTAATCATCTTATAATATACATCTTTGTTTTAATATTACTTAAAACCTAATTGATATACATATATGGTTCGAAGTGCATTGAAGATGGCGTCTATTATTCTGACCGTTGGATTCATCAACCAATCAAAATATCTTATAAAAGGTGAGATATTTTCACAAAATATCTTTTTTTATTTCAATCAATGGAGAGACAATAATGTCAATCACATAGACATGAATACTACAAGATGTATGAATGGAGCATTGTGGTCCTAATAATTAATCCACAACATTATATGTTGCAAGTTGTCCTAATTGCCGCACTAAATTCCATTGGCACATATTTCTCCCTTGTCTCTCTCAAAACAATGACATTTATAGAGGGAGTGGATGGCGGCCCTAAAGACAAACATGATAATACCATTATTAGTACACTCCAAGTTCAATAGGTCTATATCAAGTCATTAAAGCACATTTTGAAGGAATGGGCAAATGAACTTACATATTTATAGTCAAATCGATCGTCTCTACAAGAGAAATCCAACAAGACCAACATCGCTAAATTCTGAGATGATTAAAACTTTAAATCATGAAACAGAAATTTTATGGTTAATGAAGATCAAAGTGAGTCATTCGATCACGTAGTTGCAGGAGTTATTGGCTAAAGGGCCAAAATACCCCTCCCCAAATGTTATAAATACACCCTCTTCTCACTTGAGAAGGAGACGATGAGGAGTAGAATTTTAGTATTTTTCTGGACTGAATACTTGGCAATAACTTCTGGCCTGTGTAACCGTCAACCATCAATCATCATCGACCATCGCCGACCACCCCCGCTCCTCTGCTTACTTACGTCATATCCCAAATACAGATGTGCTAAATAACATCATAGTGAAGATCTTTTGTTAACTTCCAACCTACGTAGCCCTGGCCACCGTCATTCACCGCCCGTCGACTATCGTTGACCATCTCTGACTGCCCCTGCTCGCCACTATCAATGACCCCTACCTGCTAATGCCACATCCCAAATATGATTGTAGCGCATAATGTCATATTGAAAACCTGATGATAACATTCAGTTTCCATAACCACCAACCACAGTCAACCACCACTGGCTGTCACAACCTTACTTGAAGAAATGGTTGATGAATTTTTAAAAATTAATCTTTTTTCTTTCAAAAGTTTTAATTGATACTATTGTAGTCTTAAACGCAATGCGCATATCCACACCCATGCACAATTGTGTTGCACACATATGTTGTCTCTGGTGGCAATGTAATTTTAGCCAAACCTAGATCTTGACAGTAAATTTCACAATTTTGTTATATTCCGAACTCAAATTTGATGTTATAGAGCCTAATAGAGTCTTCATAACTAATTTTTAGTAAATTTCACAATTTTACATGCATTTCACAATTTTAATTAATATACCAACTTCAATAAAATTTGAAATTATGAATAATTTACTTGATCATTGACTTAAGACCAGGTCTATATTGACCTATAAGAAGAGGTCAAACTTCATAACATCTTGGAATTGTGCTCCTATATCAGATTAATATATTTTGGATTAACTAAATTTAGAATCATCCTTATGAAAATTATAAAGGGCTTTATGAAAATTATGAAAATTATTTTATATCATGTATTTAGCCTAAATACATGATAAAGGGCTTTGTTTGGTGATGAAAATTAGGGTTTATAAAGCAATGCTCCTTATGAAAGAAATCCTCTAAGGATCTAGTGTTGTTTATTTTTATATGTTTCCTCATGAATACATGATAAAGACCTAGCTCTACTAGCTTGATGCGGGCATCAAGAAAATAACATAAAAAGAACCCTTGATCTAAGCTCATCCTTGGCCAACTTATTTACATCAAATCTCCATCAAAGGAGCCTAAATATCAGGCCACGATCGACGTCGCCCTCATCATCGTTGACTATGTCTTCGCGGTAAAGGAGGGATTGTATGAATGCCCTTGCTATGGAGCTCTGCAAGGATTTTTTCTGTGGAGGGAGGTTTAAGGCCAAGAGGGAGGGGAAGCCATGGCTTCCTCATTGCCTCTTTCACCACCTTATCAATAACTTCCTCAGCCTGCAGAAAAAAAAAACAAAAGAGGGTTAGGTGAACTAATAATATTTAGTGTGTCATGATTATTGAAAGTTTGGCTTTAAATGATATAACAGATATTTTTAATGGGAGATTTACATGCATGCCAATAAATTTTTATATATTTACACATCTAACACTACTTGTACTTCAATTTTTTCAGACATATCATCTTATCTATGCATGAAAATGTGTATTCCATTCTTTAATGATGATATTTTTATGTGACATAAAATCTTAAGGGGGCGCAAATACAAAATAAATTAAAGTTTAGGTGCAACATTTATAAATATATAAAAATTTAATGTTATGTAGGTAAATGCATTATTATTATTATTATCACATCATGTTTCATTATATTGCGATTTGCTACGTGGATTTTGGATTTATGGACGTAGGGTTGCATGCTTATCATGTGAATGCACGTGAAGTTGGAAAGAGTCCGACACGTAGAATATCACCATTAGTGTGTGCACATGTATTGTCCCCTAAAATTTACCTTTATTGATGGCTACAAACAGCTATAATCTTTATGGGCCATATCAACCCTCTAGATTTGAAGAAGATATTATAAGCATATGTATGGAAAATGAGGTAGAGGTCTCCATATTATTATTTTAATTAAAGAAAAAAAAATGAAATAATTCTTTTAAATACATAAGATGGCATATATATATATATGTGTGAAAATTAAAGTTTATATGTTAAATACACAATATATAAGTGATATGTATATAAATCATCTATAATTTTTAAGGATGGACAAATGCTTGATCTGAAAATTAAATTAAATATTATTTTTCTATATTGATTTTTTTTAAGTATTTAAAAAATTATACAGGTCAAATAACTAAATTGTTAGATTTATTAAGGAAATTATAAACTTTTAGGTAATTAATTTATGTCTGGCGCACAAAAGGTCATGCTAATGAGCTACACATATAACAAAAAAAAATATCACAATAGTCCATATTTTAAATATATATATATATATATATATATACAACTAGTAGATGATGCAACTAGTAGGTGATGCATTCAGTGTCTCAATCTCCAAGTGGGAGATATGTTGGGTAATGTGAAGACTCAGTCCACCGAATTTAATTAGTTTCTTAATTAAGTATCACACCTACCGCTCACCTACCACATCCCACCTACCTCTCACCTACCCCTCTCATGGTTTTTATAAATAGTCTCTAATGGTTTAAAGGGAATGCAAGCCAAGCAAGACTAGGTCAAGTCATCTTGAGAGCTAAGAGAAAGAGAGGAAGAGAGAGAGAGAGGAAGTGAGAGAATAAAAGAGAGATTTTCTTGTAAACGTCGAGGCGCTCGACGGTGTAATTCCTCGAAGAAATAAATCCTCTGCAGCTCCGGAACGTAGGCAAATTTGTCGAACCACGTAAATCAGTGTCGTTCTGGTGTTTTTTCTCTGTATGCAATTTTACTCGTTCAAATTTTTACTTTATTGTCGTCGTTTTTCACAACAACTGTTATCAAAGCCTTGGGTTCGAATCTAAGGAAGAACAATGGGCGGAAACAAAGTGATGATATCTGGGTCGAGAAGTTCAATGACACAGATTTTATTTACTGGAGGATGCAGATAGATGATTACTTCTATGGGAAGAAACTTCATCTTCCGTTACTAGGAAAGCGATTAGAGAAGATGGACGAGGCGGAATGGAATCTGTTGGATCGACAGGTTCTTGGGGTTATACGATTAACCATGTCGAGATCGGTAACGTCATCAAGGAGAAGACTACTGCAGATCTCATGGTGGCTTTATCAAGTATGTATGAAAAACCATCCGCGAATAACAAGGTGCATCTGATGAAAAAGTTATTCAACATGAAGACGGCGGAATGTGTGTCTGTTGCTCAACACCTGAATGATTTTAACACTATCACAAAACACTATCACAAATCCAAATCAGTTGTCGTCTGTTGAAATTAATTTTGATGATGAGATACGTGTGTTGATATTATTGACATCATTGTCAAATAGTTGTGAAGCCATGAGGAAGGTAGTTAGCAGTTCTGCAGATAAATCTAAGCTGAAATATGATGATATTCGTGATTTGATTTTGGCTGAGGAGGTGCGCAGGAAAAATTTTGACGAGACCTCGGGTTCGATTTCGGCACTGATTGTTGATTCCAGAGGTAGATCACAAGACAGAAACTCAAACCGTGGAAGATCAAAATCAATCAAAATCAAAGTCACAAAGTCAGGTCAACAGACAACCTGCTAGAATTGTGGCAAGGCTGGCCACATAAAAAAGAACTGCATGAATCCTAAGAAGAAGGAGAATGATGACGTTATGTTGTAACTGAAGAAATACAGGTTCTGTTGATGACTGGATACTGGATTCAGGAGCTTCCTTCCATACATCTTCCCATCGGGAGTTAATTTGAAATTATGTTGCAGGTAACTTTAGGAAGGTATATCTGGCTGATGGAAAAGTTCTGGACGTGGTGAGGATGGGGTAGGGATGGGAGACGTTGATATTACATTCCCTAACAAGAGCAAATGAACTTTGCAAAGGGTCAGACACGTTCCTGAGTTGAAGAAAAATCTCATCTCTGTTGGGTAGCTCAATGAGGGAGGTCATTCGATAGTGTTCTCAGATAACACCTGGAAGGTTACCAAAGGAGCATTAGTATTGGCTCGGGGTAAGAAGACTGACACACTATATATGACTACAGGTTTAATCAGGCGAGGACACATGAGTCAGATGTGCATTATGGGGATGCATAAAAAGGTCAATTTCTTGAAAAGTGGTAGAGCGCCAAAGACAAGAAAACCGGACATTGTACAGACAAATGGTGGAGAACCACAACGCTATGAATAAATCTTGCAAGATGAGAATTCGAGCAAGTGGGAGCTGACTAAGAAGGAGGAGACGGATTCCCTACCAGGGAATCAGACTTGGGAGCTGACAGAACTTTTACCAATGAAGAAGACATTGCACAACAAGTGGGTGTACCGAGTGAAAACTGCACTTGGTGGCAGTAAGAGTTACAATGCTGAACTTGTTGAAAAGGGCTTTCAGCAGGGGCAGGATATTGCTCATGCAGTGGAAGTTGTAAGCAAATACAAGAGTAACCCAGGAAAGAGCTTGGTGGTATGAGACTACGTTAACAGTGATATGTCAACTGAGGGTGTTACTCATGAGAAACTGAAGTTGTGCTCAACTTCAGCTGGTCTTCTAGCATGAAGACAAAGGCTTCGAGTTGCAGAGGTGGATGATATCATGTTTGAGGAAAAGGTCGGTATAGCTAGTAGATGATGCAGCTAGTAGGTGATGTATTCAGCGTCTCAGTCTCTAAGTGGGAGAATTGTTGGGTAATGTGGGGACCCGATCTACCGAATTTAATTATCTTCTTAATTAAATATCTCACCTACCGCTCACCTACCTCCCACCTACCGCTCTCATGGTTTCTATAAATAATCTTTTTTGGTTTAAAGGAAATGCAAGCCAAACAAGACCAAGCCAAATCATCTTGAGAGCTAAGAAAAAGAGAGGAAGAGAGAGAAGAAAATACAATGGGTGTGGATGTGGTTGGTTGAATCTATAAATATTTTTTAAAGTTGAATTATAAGAAAATTAAGATTTGGTATCCTAAATACTAATCTAATTTTACCTTGTTGTATTAGAAGCTTTGCTTGTAAAAGGGGTAAATTTGTCATTTTCTATTTTTATTAGGTTGTCATAATCTCTCTTATTTATAGGAGGAATTAGAGTTGATTTTAGTATGTGGAGTTGTAACCCTATTTCACTCATTGGGGACAGAAAGATTTACACCAAACCACCAAAATCACACCATGTTTGATTTGTTGTTCGTTATGTAAGAACCAAATTTTTTTCTTATCTTTTTTATTCATTTACACGATTTTTGTTTATTTCCTTCCTTGATCACCTCCGACTTACCGACTTCAATTCGATTCTTTCCTTTCCTGCCTCACCCTACCACATTGATCACTCTGTCTCAATCAATTATTTAATGAGGTTGTAGGTCTCAGATTTGTAATCACTCTCCCTCTTGCTCCTTTCTCTGCCGATCGAGCGACCTCCTCTCAAGCTCCTTTCCTCTCTTCTGGTTTCACTCAACGCCATTGCCTTCATGACTAAACTCCCCCGCAACATTGTTAGAGCTAGCAATAAAGGAAATGGCAGGATTGTGACTTAGAGTCCACCGAACTCTGAAATCCCACATTCCTCTTCCTTCCATCGCTCATACCCGAGACTATCGAGGAAGGTAACCCTCTGTGTCCGCCTTCCTCCCTCTCGCGCACCACAACTCCTTCAAAACTTGTGAATCCATCTGCCAATGGGGCTTCGTAACCCGATATTTAAGACAAAATAGAGGAGAAAAAAGATTTAAAGAGTTGTAGGAATTGAATGCTCATTTTTAAATTATTAACTAATATTAATTAAGTTCTTAATTTCTTCCTTTTAAAAATATAATATTTTAATAAATAACAGTAATAGTAATAGTAATATATGGAGTAGGTTGCACCTAATTTGACGAAAAACGAGTTAATTCAAAACTATTCACATTTTGAGTTCTAATTATGTAGTGTAGCTAGTTCAACCATTTGTTGCTTTGAAATATCTTTTCCAGCCTTCTCGAGGTACGTAATTACTTATTATTAGAGGATGAACGTACCCTTCTTAGTTAGGGGTGTTATTCCTTATTAATTGTAGTAGAAGCATATCTATTGCTTGTGTTTGTCAATCCTGCCCATACTGCTTTAATTATGATGTTGCACTTGTTATAGGCTTACTTTATTGTTCATGATGAAATTGCTAACTGCCTTAATTTATTGTTGCATATTTGAATAATCTCGCGATTATAGTGTTTTTCCTTTTATTACATTTTAAAAATCTGCATTTTTGTTATATCACAAGCATCAATAAAATAGCATAATTCTTTTATACCTGTGGAAAATATTGGATATGCTTGTGTGTGATGGTGTGTAGGTCGGTGGAACCCTTTTGAGTATGAGCTAGCCATGCCAAGAGGCCCACATAATCACGACTCTAAAGAAAATCGTCGGATTTCCTTGGGTTGGTATTTGACGTTCCCGGTTTCATGATGTCTATTAAAACCAACTGTATAAATATAAATGAAAAACATAATAATAAGGAACTTAATTACATGTTTCCTTATGGTATTTGAGTATATTTGATTTATTATTCTCTTTTTGCTTCATGATATATATATGCACGAAGTGCTCGTCCTTATTTATTGTTCATACTGCATGCCTCATTTCTCATTGTCGTTTATGTTTTAATAATTAGTTATTACTTGTTGAGTTTATCAAACTCATTCCCGATATTTTTATATCATATGTTCTAATCATTTGTCAATAGGACCGTCTCCACAAGAGCAAGTTTTTCAGTTCTTGTTTATCAGTTTTGGTATTTTTCCGTTGTATTTTTTTTTTAGTTGGGTCTAGATATATGTTTTGATTCAACTAAATTTCTATTTTCAGTCCAAATTGTATCATTGAACTTTCAGAATTACTAAATTTTTTTTTATATTTGCAATGCAAGTCTTTCTTTGAAAATACAAAATATGTTCAAATCATTTCCTCATGCCCTACATTGTCGGGATGGACCGACTTCCTGACCCGAGGTGTGGCAAATAATGTAATTTTAACTATTATAAGTTTATGAAATAAGATCCATAGTCTCTATGAGGTTTTAACAATAATTCATTTCAAATATCCCTAGATTTGGTTTTTTATTCAATCTTTATTTCTGCTAATCTTTTGATTCCTAGTCATATAATAAATAAAAGTGAAGGAGAGAGTCTTTATAAGCATTGTGGTATGCATGCAAATTTTCCTTTTTCAAATAAATGAGAGAAATTATAGATTTACCGGGCAATGATCGTAGGTGCTTTCCAGCCTTCCTTGTCTATCACCATAACTCTCAAGCCCATTGTTACTTAAAGCAGGACCCTACATAAGTAAGAAAATAAAAATAAAATAAAATAAAATATGAAATTTCATTTTTTTTTTTAATAAATAAAAAGGATAATGCTTTTTATCTATGAAAATTGAAAAAATATATATTTTTTGTCATAAAATGAACCTGTGGAGGCATGTAATACTGGGCATAACCATAACTATAGTGTGGTAGGACAGGACAGCCCCAAGCATCTGCGTGACTCTGAAACAGTTCATGATTCTTCAGGTACATATTAACAATCAAACATCAAAACATCAAAGTTATGCATAATACTACAAAATATTTCTATTTATAAAACTCTTTAAAATATTCAAAAATTTTGGAAATATAATATTTTTAATGTGTAAAATTAGGTGTAAAGTGTCTAAATTTTACGTGGGATTATTTTAATCTCAGAATTTATAGAAGTATCAAAATAGTGTCAGACTTCTTATACTGTGGCTGAAACAGTCACCATGAAGTACTATTAGAGCTCAATTTTAAAATGGAAGGGAAGTATTTTGAAACTTCTATAAATTCTGAGATTAAAATGACACTTTATGCAATAAAAAGGGGAGTAAGTTTGGGAAATGAAGGAAATTGTAACAAATACCTCTGGGTAAATGTTGGTTGGCCAATTCTCAGGAGGTGGAGGCCATGATGGGAAACCAGAATGCCTCCACATCTGAACATGTGGGAGGTGATAAGTTTGATGAGGCCATATTGGATAAGGTTGGCTTGGTGGAATTATATAATTAGAATGGTAAGGAGGAAAGGCCATGACTGGTTTCTGCAAGTAACCTTTTTGTGAAGGATCTGCGTGTAATTGCCATCTTCTGTCATCTTCCTTTGGCAGTATGTGCCTTTTATGCATTCTAAATTTCTGCATATGAGAAAACTCAGACCCATCAGATCTTCTATAATAGATATGGAAAGTATGGACCACATTTGCTTGAAGATAAGATTTTTTATTTGGCTCTCTAACCTGCAAGTGGCTGGCTACATTATGTCTTGTAAGACCATCAACCTTCATCAGCTCGAGTATCTTTGATGGAATGGCTTGATCAATACCCAGCTGCTCGATAGCCTTAACAAATCTTTTGTGCAGCTCCGGTGTCCAATCTACCTGAATTGTCAAATAAATTAGTTTAATTTTTTTTAAGAATTGCAGTCATAAGAGATCTTACCTTCATTTTTCTCCTGCTTCCTCTCACTCTATTCAAGCAAGAGCTAGTATGAACGAAAGGCTTCTCCTTTGTTGGGTTCTCCAAATCAGAATCCTCATTCTCTGCATTTTCTCTGGATAAAACATTTAAAGAGATTTCTTTAGCAGAATCCAACTCTACTTCAGCTGCAGCTTCTTCACTATTTACTGCAGCAGTGAAGCTATTGCAAGCATTGTCGACGAATTTTGTTCCAGAAAGATTGCATTTTTGCGTTTCAGACAATTCTGTGTCTCCAACCGAACAATCTTTCTCCAAGCACTCAGTTTGATCATGAAAAACCTTATCTTCTCTCAATCTCCCTCCTTTAATCAACTGTGGAGTTGAAGATTCCGAAAATTTATCATTTTCCTTCTCCTTTATATTCATTCCTTCATGTTCTTGCTCCATATCAAAAAATTGTGGAGGAATCTCAATTTTAAGTTCGCTGAAATTGCGCTGCATCTGAAGCGCTGATGAAACTGTTTCTTTGACAGGTTTTAATGGCATTGAGATGGCATTTCTCCCTGCATTGAATGCCTGTTCAGGGCTAATGGACTCAGACGACTTTCTCATGGCTTTCTTCTTATTTTATTACAAAAGGGAAATACTTAAAAAATGATGAGATTGTGACCTTGTGGATGATATGTTGCCATATGTTTCTTAGTTTTTCTTCTGATAATGGTTTCTGAACAAATTCTGCAGCACCCAGCTGAAATTATAGGAAATTTTTTTTTAAAAAAAACCCAGTTTTCTACATCAAACTGCCTAAATGAGGAAGAAAGTATAGAAGGATTTAGTTGCTACATATATAAATGCAATGGATTTTGTGAAATATGTAAGGGTCCGTTTGGGTCAGCTTATTTGGTCAATAGCGTTTTGAAAACTCACTTGAGGTAAATTGCGTTTTGACAGTTTATGCGTTTTTTTCAAAATGCCGAAAATAACATTTTTACACCGCACCTATCTAGGTGCGGTGACAACTTTATGGCAGCGGCCTGGGCATTTCCAAAATAATAAAAAATTTATAATACTCATCGCACTTAGCTTATCAGCAGATTATTCAATAAGCCGCAGCATAATTTGTATTCACTTTTGAGCTCGGAATGTCAAGCAAAAAAAAAAGGTATTTACATACATAAAAACCGCATTATTCTCATATATTTACATATCGAACATCAAAATTAGCAATTTTACTTGCACAACAATAAATCTCTATATAATTTTCTCATTCATGATTCAACAAAACCCACAAAACTCACCGCTATGCACTTCATCACAGTGTTCAAGCAATGAACTTTCGAAATAACTGCAACAAAACAAGATCATGAAATTGAAAAAGTGAGCGCTCAGGTTATGAAAACTGGGGTTTGATTTCTAATATCAAATTTCACACAGTTAGTAAGGAAAATTTGTCCTCCGAAGTAAGAAATGTTTGGGTGAGTGATACCTATGGTTGGAATGTCCTTAACCATTTCAAGAAAGTTAAAGCCGGCTGGACCGCTAGCAGTCACCTGCAAAAAAGTTTCTTAATATTTTAATTTAAATAAAATATGTTTGTTGTGGTAATTATTTTCATTTTTTTTTTTTGATATTTTTGAATAAAATATGTTTATTTTTTAACATAAAAGTGGTTTTTAAATACCAACAACCCAAAATATTAAATATAACATTTTAACCGTCCGAATTTTAAATATAACATTTTAATAATTTTTTCATTAAAACCGCACTTTTAAAACCGAAAAAAATATTATATCAGGACTCCGCACGTAACTCCGCACGTAGAGTTACGTGTGGAGTCCAATAAAATAAGGGGAATGTTCCCGGTAACACAGGTAATGCAGGGGAATATTCCTTCCGTGTTATTTAGGTGTTATTGTGTGTTATTCATGTGTTATTGTGATTTGAGAATATTTTTGGTGTTATAATAACACAATAACATATCAATAACACTTGAATAACACACAATAACACTTGAATAACACGAGAGGAATATTCCCCTGTGTTACCTGACCGATTTTTTTTTGTTCTCACATTCACGTGTGTGGTGCGGAGTCCTGATTTAATATTTTTTTCCTTAAACCCACTCATGAAGGTTTGAGTGAAGGTTTTGCGTGGTTTAAAATGTTATATTTCATATTTTGTGTGGTGGGTATGTAAAAATCTCAAATTAGGGTTTTAAAAAATAAAAAAAGAAAAAAATTTAGTTCTTTCGGTAAGAAATTACCTCTACAATTGCGATATGGTAGTTCTCGGCCTTCCTTAAGACAGCTTCCAGTGCTTCTTCTCCTTTGCAGAATGAATGTACTGCAAATAACACAATTTCATTGTTCTATACATAGAATAAGCATATATCAATTATTAATGGGGAAATTTACATACATAACACACAATTCTTATGTATTTACACATCTAACATCTAAACTTTAATATTTACATTTCTATCAAGTTCCAAGTAAGAATTGCTACTGAGGTGGTAAGATTTAGGGTTTGTTTGGGGCAGCATGTGCGTTTCAGGATAAGTTGTTTTTCCGAAACGGCGGCCCGCGGGCTGGCCGCAGGAGTCGACCCGCGGCCTGCGTTTAGTGTAAAAATTCAAACGCAATTTCAAATAAGCTGGCGAAACACACGAACCAAATGGTACGACGGCGTTTTCAAAACGGACCCTTAATATTTACATTTTCTTTCACTTAATGTGTGGACTAAAATCATTGCTTCAGAGTTGATTGTGATGGGTATTTGTAGGTTTTAAATTGATGTTAATTTTTAAATGTATCCCATCAAATAATATTACAATCATGATTGGCGAGATGGCCTTAGTCCAACTAAATGGGGCCGATCTTATAAATCTTTATTTATTTGTTCATTCCTGACAAGTAATGTATTAAGTTGTGTAAAAAAAAGATAAAAAAGGAAGAAAAATATAAATGTTTGGTTTTTATTTCATAAATCTCGTTGCGGCTGAAAAATTCACGGCAGAAGAGTGATAATTTAATGTCTTAGTGTTGCACGAAGATCCAACACATATACAGAAAAGTAGCGAGATGAAATACAAAGTTATTTTACTTGGAAAACCTCGGAAAGAGAAAACTATGGGTCTTGCCCGGTCAAAATAGTCCATTATATGTTTGTGAGTACATGAGTACACCTTTCTCTGATATCAAATGATTGAGTTTGCAATCTTATACTGAAAACTACACTTGTCTTTATATAGCTAAGAAAAATAGAAGTGCCACGAAATTCCAAAATAATCGTGTCTGGTTACAACCAGTGGTGGTCGACGACCTGTGGTCGGTAACAGCGAGCAATAGTCAATGATGGTTGTTAGCCGACTATTGAGGCCAGTGATTACTCGTCGGGTCTTCTGCCCGTAATAGGCCCTGGAATTTCACTTTTCATTCTTTTCTTCCCCTCCGTTCAACAGAAGAGAAGAAATCTATTTTTTTTTTTAGGAGAGACATTTTGTTCTGACGCTCCCGATCTGAGAGCTTTGAAACCGCGAGCCAAGAAGTCTAGCAAAAATGCGGAAGACCCAAAGGAGCACAAACTTGTGGGATTGCGAGTCATTGCGATGACGGGCGGAAAGAGGAGTGAAGCCTTGTGCGACGATAGGAAGAATCGTGTGAAAAAGGAAGAGGCACAAAATCTCGCGCAACTGCGGGAAAATTCCGAAGCTGAAATGCGAAGCAGAATCACAAACAATCACTATCCTCACTTGTTAAGACTTTTTTGGATTCTTTTGTCATCCTTTTGTGCCGGAGTCTATAATAGATGTTTATGTGTGTAAGAGCTCATTTCTTGTTGTGTTCAGTTTCAGATCTCTTGTGTGGAGTCACTTTCCACTTTGTGGGCTATATCCTAGGAGGTGGTGGTGCTTCAGCTATATCCCCTCTGATTTGTGATTGTATCATCCCTCTTACCTTGTCCAAACTTTCTCCTCCTTACTCCTCTGTCGCCGAACTTCTCACTGTCACCCCTACACCCAACTAATCCCCCTCCCTGCAAGTTATTACTGTTTTTTGCCTTCCTAACTCCTTTCATGCTCCTCCGAACCATCCCCCTGCTCCGCCCCGCCCCTCTACTACTGCTGAGGAGCACCTATAACCTTCCCACTTATTGCCTCTATAGTTCTGACACATCCCTTCGCTACCACCCACCTCCCGTAACTGTCTTCATCCCTTCTAATCATTCATATCCCTCTAGCGGACCTCCACCACCCAATGGTATACATTTAGGAGTGTTTGTTTGTGTCATTTAATGTATTGTGTTGTTTTTTTCCGTTTGAGTGATGTTGTGATCATCTTTTAATATTAATGAAAGATTGTTTTTTATGTTTATATTTTTCTTACTAGTTCTGGTATCATTTGATATTATAGCTAGTCCAACCCTAGTCCCATTCTAGGGTTTCCGAGCATCCGCCATAACCCACAAAATTTTCTTCCTACCACCCAATATGTGTTTCGCTGCCACATGTTCCTAAGCCTAAATTCTCTTTGTTGAATTTTAAATATCAGCAATCTTAACCTAATTATTTTTACCCTTTTTCACCTTCACTAAAATTTTGCCTCCCTATTTCTAAACCCTAACCATGCCACAAAGGAGATATATGTTCGAACTTACTTGGGACGAGAAACGCCTAGAGCTCCACCGTCTTCAGCGGAGACTTATGAATATTGAAGAGGAAATCCAGTGAGAGGTTACCCTCAATTATGATCTGGAAAGTCGAAGGGAAGAACTAGACAAAATGAAGATGAAGTGAGAAACACAATGTCAGTTCCTACTAACTTACTATAGGTAAAAGTTGCAGACTTTAGTTTCTAAAGAGGAGAGATCATATCACCAAGTGATCCCCCTTGCTACTATCTAGCGAAGCTAATCCACAAATCTATCATAGCCAAAATAATGTTGCAAATGCCAAAGATTCAGACATGTGGAATCAAAATGCACAACCTAGGGATTAACCTATTTCACAAAGCAATGCATTGTTGAGTCCTCTGGTGAGCACAGTGCAGACAATGAAGAATAGGTTGAGCAAGAACTTTTATCTGATACATCCAATATCTTTTCTCCGTGTGATCAAAAGGAACATGAGATATTTAATGGAGAATTTCTTTTGTAGGCATATAGTGATCACATAGACCAGAAGATGTCGGAATTTAAAATTTCAGTAGATGATCATAGTGATGACCAATTGATAGCATATTAGTCAACTACATTTCCGGCCCCCACCCCAGTGCTCCATAGGAATAGACGTAGAAGAGCCTCCAACCTCATGAGACTGATGCGGGCGCGCTAGGGTAAGCGCCCGATTGCCGACGCTGAAAGCTCCTCGATGCGGGCACTTTTAAACCGTAGGGCCAGAAGCCTCGTGAAAATGCAGAAGACCTGAAGGAGCGCAAACTTGCGGGATTGCGAGTCATTGCAATGATGGGCGGGAAGAGACTTGAAACCTCGCGAGACAGCGAGAAGAATCCCACAAAGACGAAAGAGACGCAAATATTAGCGCGACTGGGGGAAAATTCCTGTGAAGGCAGAAACGAGAAGATAATCGCTAAATATCACGATCCGGGTGGAGGTTTGGCAAGTTGCTGCACATGTAAAGACCTTTTAGGTTTCTTCTGCCCTCTTTTTGTGTAAAAGCCTTTTAATAATTATTTTATGTGTGTAAGAGTTGAGTTCTTGTTGTGTTCAGTTTCATATCTCCCGTGTGAAGTCTCTTTTCTCTTTGTGGGTTTTCTTTGAGAAGGTGGTGGTGTTGCAGCTATATCCCCTCCGAGGTTGTGATTATACCCTCCATCTCACCTTCTCCAAACCTTCTCATCCATGTAAAACTATGTAAAACTCGGCTAGCAATAGCGGGAAGCGGCACTGACAGTGACCAACAATAGTAGCAGGTGAAGGCAACAACATAAGACCGTGAGCAGTGGGCAACGAAATTTGCTATTTTAGAAAATCACCCAAATCTAATGAATGGAAATGTATCAGTTTTAAACCACAAGGTAAATTTTAAAATCATCAAAATTTTACATTGCATTCCATTTTCATCCAACCAAACAACATCTTAAAAACTCTTTCATTTACACTGCTAATTCAGGCCTAATTTTTCTGTGTGGGCTCCTGACGTAACTCTACGTGCGGCGGAGATTATTCCTGAGTTATTTTTCATGTTATTTCTGGGTTATTTTCAATAATCCCGAAATAACCCAGAAATAACCCGTGGTCTTTATTTTAAAGTTATTTCTGGGTTATTTCGGGATTATTGAAAATAACCCAGAAATAACCTGAAAATAACTTAGGAATAATCTCCGCCACACGTAGAGCTTCGTCAGGAGTCCGGACAGAAAATGAGCTTCTAATTCAAACAACCAAATAACTCCTTAAGGTTTTAATGATTACCAAAATATTCTTATTTCAATAAAATAATACTAACATATTAGAGTTTTAGAGAGCAAATTCCCCAAGTTACCCTCCAATTATTTGCAGCCTAAATCCCCTGTAAATCTTATATATCTCCCATGCTGGCCATTCCTCTATTTTTTTTTTTTTTTTGCAGTGTAAATAAAAATATAGATCGAATATAATTACAAAATTACATAAAGTTAAGGAAGATTTATGTAAATACCACTTAATCCCTATATATATATGTATATATATATATGTATGTATATATATATATGTATGTATATATATATATATCTATGTATATATATCATCTTATCTAAACAAGAAAGAGTTTATTTTAAGTTTTAAAAAAAAAATTTAAAATAATAGTATTTTTGATGTGATATGAAAATTTTGAATGATATAAATGTAAAAGTGTTAGATATAAAAATACTTGATTAATCCTCATAATTGTGTATTACCAAACATTCTCATGCTGATTGCTTGATTATTCGCTGATCTGTAGTCTAATTATATAATTAGTCTAGATGTAATTAAAATTAATAAGCATAATGACCAACCTAAATATAGTTCTAAATCTCTACTCCTGAATTATTTATCTGATGAAATATAATTTTCATGATTAAAATAAAAATATTCCCACATTAAGATAGATTACAAAGCACATAAATCCCATTTCTTGCAAAATCCTACTCGCAATCAGATGGCTTCTTTAAATCCGCTGTAATATATTTTGGTCCAACGAGCAAGCAAATCATTTCTGTCTGAATTCAGATCATTTAACGCCAAAAGATAGTACTGGGCTGTCACCAGGCTGTCTGGAGACGGATTTATAGCAGGATTATTTGGATGTAGGCTAAATCTGGTGAGACAATCATTTTGGGCAAAATAAAGCCACTGGTTTGATGAATCCGTCGGATTTCGCACGTAAATCCAATGAATAGATGAATTTGTTGGATTTACGGGATAGAGCTATTGGGATTTATGTGGATGTACGCAGAACTTCCCAGATAATTTTAACGATAAGTTAATAAGACTTACTAAATCTTATTAACTTATATCTAATCTTTTGCCAGACAACACAACAGAGCTCAGATTTCGTTACTGAAGAAAGGAAGAGCAAAAAGAAGGATCTTCCTAAACAGTAAAAAAGTTTAGAAGAAATAGTCCAACTAAGCTAAAATATTGGGATAGATCTTTGATGAAAACCTTATTAGTTACGTTGACTTATAAAAAAGCCACAAACAGAAAGAAGAAAAAGCAGATTAAAAGATCTGAACTGAGAAAAAAAAAAAAGAAAAAAAGAAGTTTTTTTTTTTTTTTTTTTTTGGCTTACCCATGTAATCCATGGCTTCAAGTTTCAGTTTAGTTTCAGCGGCAGAATCTTCATCTTCATCACACAGCAGTATCCGAAGTCCTTTAGGAAAATCCTTCCACACAGACAAATCATCAGCAGAGCAAGACATAACTGGTTTTGCATGTTTCTCTCAAGCGAAACTACAAAGCCATGCATGAACTCCCCATTTCAGTACACAAAGTCCACAAAATCGCTTCACCAATCCCAACTTTTCAGCATAACAGAGAAAAAACTAAAACAAAATATTGCTGAATCTCTGAGAAGTTTTCCTCATAAAACTTCTTTCTCTCCAACTCTAAAAGAAGTGGTTTCCGTGCTATAATTAGAGCAAAGCATCAGAGAACTTAGCAATGTGATGATTAATGGAGAAGAGGACCAATCAGACTGATGAAAAGTTGATCAAGAATATGCCAAAAGGTACACTGACAGTAAATTTGAGAAAGTTGAGAGAGATGAAACTCTCTCTCTTTCTCTCTCAGCTTTTTTAGATAGGACCAACAACAGATGGGTGATGCTCTATCTTTCAAATATGTCAGAAAGAGAACACGGAGCCATTTTGGTGAGATTAAAGGTGGATGTGAAATATGGATGTGATATGTGGTCAGTTTTCTTCAGGGGCCACATATTATCTTATTACAAAAAAACATATCATTTGGGAACATTATATATGGTTATTAGGGCTATAAACGAGTCGAGTTTGGGCGAGCTCAGACTTGACTTGTATTCGACTCGTTTCAAATAGTTTGTGTTCGAAATCGGCTCGTGAACAGTTTATTTGTGTTCAGCTTGATTTAAATATTCGTGTTCTTGTTCGGCTCGAAATTGACTCGTTAAACTAAAATTGAGAAAAATATATGTAAAGTGTGGGATTTGAACCTGGATCAAATCTATACAACAGAAAACACTAACCACATTGCCACATGAGATATTATGATTTAAATATAGACATAAATATATATAATATATTATTATATAAATAATATATGTAATATATTGTTATATAAAAAGTTATATAATTTTTTTTTTCAAGTCATTTCAAGCCGAACACGAGCGAACAAACTGTTGTTCGTGTTCGGCTCGTTTACATTTCAAACTTAAAAATTTGTTCATGCTCAGCTCGTTAGGCTTAACGAACGAGCCGAACATAAGCTGCTTAATGAGCCGAAAACGGGTTGTTCACGAACAACAAGCCAAATTGATAGCCCTAATATTTATATAGCAATTTACATCCATGCCAAACCAATTGTTTAGAATTTTAGGGCAAAGAAACACAAATTCAGAAGAAAACACAGAAATTTGCCGAAGTTCGGTAAAGATGTTTACGTCATCGGCAGCAGAGCTGCGACTATTCTTCAATTCAGAAAAAGAATACATAATACAGAATAATCTCTAGTATTATAAATAGACATATATATAACCCTGGAGTACAATATGTAAGTACAATATGTAATTATAAAATTACTCATGTACTGTATCGCGGGGGGTTGCCCCTTCACCCCGAACTCACATAACGAAACTCCCCCGATTGGACAGATTCTTCCGCTCCTCTCCACTGGCTCGCTCCATTTCGCTCTAGCATTTGTCCCTCATTTGGTATATGAGTCATAAACACTTATATATATTTATATACAGCTTACATACCTACGTATTTACATATCTAGCATCTAAAGTTTACACTTTACATTTATACCACTCATGCATCAAAAATACCATCATTTTAACTTTTATGAAGTGCAATGCACGTTTTCATGTATGGGTAAGATAGTATGTGTTGAAAGATCTCGAAAATACTAATAAGTATATTTCATATTTGTTATAGCTCTTTATTTAGAGAGTTGTAAATTACATAAGGGATCTTGAGAATCTCTATTTATTTCTCTCCTTAATTAGAGAGATTAGTTATCTCTTATATTTTATTATTCTTTTTCTTTTCTATTGTCTTTTGTGTTTATTTCTTTCCTTACCAGTAAAGTTCTGTAATGGGTATTTATACCCCTCTGCATCAATAAAATAATGTCCTCTTATATTTTTTCATGGTATCAAAGCCATACCAATCTTCTTCGGTATGACGACTTCTTCATAATTCGATATCTAGTCCCTCTTCTTCGATGTTGGAGTTATTCGTTGTGGCGGCGTTCTCGGCGGTGCCGCTCATGTTATACTTACCTCCGGTGAGAAGCCTCAATCTATTAGTGCAGACGATGGAGTTCTTCTTCAGGAAATCCTCCGGCTACGCAGACCATGTTATTCCTCTGCTCCGCTTAGGCTTCTGTCTGCCTCAATCAATCAGCTCGGCGACGATGAGTCCGGTCGAATGCTCGTCGTCATCTTTTGCGACAACGGGGTGTGAAGCAGAGCTTTTCTGGAAAATAAATCACGAAGCAGTAATTCCGACTCCTGCAACACATTCTATTGTGAAGCCTGCACCGCCCTCGCTTTCGTCACCCTCCGATCTGACAGCGAGCGCAATTTCATGTTTTACCGAAACCCTAGCACCAAGTCCATTCAGCAAAGAGCAACTCAATTTGCCGCACAAAACCGATCGGCAAATCACCTGATATGGTTGTTCCCGACCCCATCACCGGCCCGCTCGCGCAGCAAGGAACGTTCTACCATGCCTTCACAGTCAATCAAGGATCCTTCGGTTAGTGGATCATCGATTCCGGCGCTTCTCATCACATGATTGGTGATGCATCCCTTCTCCATGACTATATGTCGTGCGGAGACAACTCCACCATCTGTGTTGCCGATGGCTCTATCTCCAAATTCACCGGCTTTGGCTCAGTGCGCTTCACCCAAAACATTCTACTCTGATCTGTGCTTCATGTTCCTACTTTAAATTGTAATTTAATATCCATCGGAAAGTTAACTAGTGATCTGAGGTGTATTGCTAAATTTTTTCCTACCACGTGTGAATTTCAGGACGCGGACTCGGGGACGACGGTTGGCAATGTTGAGTTGTGCTCGGATCTCTACATCATCAACGATACTCCACCATCACGATCTCACTGTGGACATTTATCTACCTATCATTCTGTCTTCAATTCTAGTGTCAATAAAGATTCCGAGATTATGTTATGGCATTTTCGTCTCGGTCATCCAAATTTTACATATCTTGTGAAACTATTTCCAAATTTATTTATCAATAAAGATGTTTGTTCTTTTCAATGTGAATTTTGTCAACTTGTCAAACGCACTCGCACGTCTTTTCCACGTATTAGTTACACCTCTTCCTGACCCTTTGCACTCATTCACAGCGATATCTAGGGCTCATCCCGTGTTACAACCCTTACCGGGAATCGGTGGTTTGTCTTTTTTATTGATGATCACACTCGACTAACATGACTATTTCTTATGAAAAAAAAAATCTGCAATCGGTCACATATTTGAACAATTTTACTCCATGATCCAAACACAATTCCAAATCTCCATCCAGGCACTCAAGACTGATAATGCAAAGGAATACTTTGCTTCCATCCTCGGCTCTTATCTCTCATCTAAAGGCATCCTCCATCTCAGTTCTTGTGTTGATACTCCTCAACAAAATGGGATCACCGACGCAACAACCGCCACCTTCTCGAGGTGGCCCGCTGCCTCATGTTTTCCTGTAACATGCCTAAAGTTTTTTGGGGTGACACCGTATCCACTGCAGCCTACCTCATCAACTGGATGTCTTCTCGTGTCCTCAAATTTCAAAGCCCGGTCCAAATCCTTCTCAAATCGTTTCCTCACACCAAGGCAATTACCCAAAAACTACCTATCAAAGTATTTGGGTGCTCCTCCTTTGTTCACATTCATTCACACAATCACAACAAACTTGACGCTAAATCAACTAAATGTATTTTCCTCGGCTACTCGCCTCTTCAAAAAGGGTATAAGTGTTACTCTCCCCTCACAAGAAAAATCTACAACACTATGAATGTCACCTTCCTTGAAAATCAACCTTACTACCCCAATTATAACACTCCGGGGGAGACTTTAAGGGAATACCAGCCTTGGGGGGACAACAATTTCATACCACCACACACCAAAACCTCGTCCCTTGAATCAAACTCATTATCTCCCGACTCGGATTCAGCAAGTTCATCCAACTCATGTGAAAACGTACCTAACAATCAGTCTCCGTCCAGTTCTCAAGTGTCCAACTTGTCACCTATTCTTGCACCACCTCCCACGCACAACAAGCACATAGAACACCCAACACATCCAACACCAATTCAAGAGTCAAAACCGGATCCAACTCCTACAGAAATCCACTTAGGTACGAACACACTTGAACATGAATCCACTATACCTATGATTGATGACTCTGACATTCCAATTGCTTTAAGGAAAGGTGTCAGGTATGTTGACCTCACTTTTGGTCGAGGTCTAGAAATTTCTTTAGTAGCCTAGGTCTAGCCATAGGACTTTCCTATTGACTAATCTTAGAAAACTAGAAAAGATATCCTCACCATTAGAAATTCAAACTCTTCACTTTGCTCAGCTTGAGATTCCACATATTGGTCCTAACCTCTAATATTTAGAAGGTAAGATCATTATGGGAGAGCTCAAGAAGAGTTCTTATAGGGTTACTTGGCCTTAGAATTGACCCTGGGTGTTGATTTGAAGCTAAGGTACATTATACTCTTATTATATCTTCGCAATACACTAATTAAGATCAATACATGAGAGCCCAAAATGGGGATTTCATTGATCCATGGTTCATTTAGAATGGATAT